GAAAATCCTAAAGATGCTACCAGAAAACTACTAGAGCTCATCAATGAATGTGGTAAAGTTGCAGGACATAAAATTAACACACAAAAATCTCTTGCATTCCTATACACTAACAATGAAAGATCAGAAAGAGAAATAAGGAAACAATCCCAATGACCACTGCATCAAAAAGAATAAAATACCAGAATAAACCTACCTAAGGAGGCAAAAGACCTGTACTCAGAAAACTATAAGATACTGATGAAAGAAATCAAAGATGACACAAACAGATGGACAATATACCATGTTCTTGGATTGGAAGAATCAACATTATCAAAATGACTATACTACCCAAAGCAATCTACAGATTCAGTGTAATCCCTATCAAATTACCAATGGCATTTTTCACAGAATTAGAACCAAAAAATTGTACAATTTGTATGGAAACACAAAAGGCCCTGACTAGCCAAAGAAATCTTGAGAAATAAAAATGGAGCTGGAGGAATCAGGTTCCCTGACTTCAGACTATACTACAAAGCTACAGTCATCAAAACAGCATGGCACTGGCCCCAAACCAGAAATATACAGCAATGGAACAGGATAGAAAGTCCAGAGATAAACCCACACACCTATGGTCAACTAATCTATGACAAAGCAGGCAAGGATATACAATGGTGAAAGGAAAGGCTCTTCAATAAGTGGTGCTGGGAAAACTGGACAGCTACATGTAAAAGAATGAAATTAGAACACTCCCTAAACCATACACAAAAATAAACTCAAAACGGATTAAAGACCTAAATGTAAGGCTAGATACTATAAAACTCTTAGAGGAAAACACAGACAGAACACTCTCTGACATAAATCAAAGCAAGATCTTTTTTGAACAGCCTCCTAGAGTAATGAAAATAAAAATAAACGAATGGGACCTAATGAAACTTAAAAGCTTTTGCACAGCAAAGGAAACCATAAACAAAAAGACAACCTACAGAATGGGAGAAAATATTTGCAAACAACGTGACTGACAAAGTATTAATCTCCAAAATATACAAATAGCTCATGCAGCTCAATAACAAAAAAAAAAAAAACCAATCCAATCAAAAAATGGGCAGAAGATCTAAATAGACATTTCTCCAAAGACAAAGATGGCCAAAAAAGATGAAAAGATGCTCAACATCACTATTAGAGAAATGTACATCAAAACTACAATGAGGTATCATCTCACAATGGTCAGAATGGCCAACATCAAAAACATTTACTGACAGTAAATGCTGGAGAGGGTGTGGAGAAAAGGGAACCCTTCTACACTGTTGGTGGGAATATAAATTGGTACAACCACTATGCAGAATGGTATGGAGGTTCCTTAAAAAAACTAAAAACAGAGCTACCATATGATCCAGCAATCCCACTCCTGGGCATATACCCAGAGAAAACCATAATTCGAAAAGATACATGCACCGCAATGTTCACTGTAGCACTATTTACAATAGGCAGGACACAGAAGCAACCTAAATGTCCATTGACATTTGAATGGATAAAGAAGATGTGGTACATATATACAATGGAATATTACTCAGCCATAAAAAAGAATGAAATAATGCTATTTGCAGCAACATGGATGGACCTAGAGGTTATCATACTAAGTGAAGTAAGTCAGACAGAGAAAGACAAATATCATGATACCGCTTATATGTGGAATCTTAAAAAATGGTACAAATGAACTCATTTACAAAACAGAAATAGAGTCACAGAGGTAGAAAACAATCTTATGGTTACCAGGGATGAAAGAGGGGGAGGAATAAATTGAGAGATTGGGATTGACATATACACACTACTATATATAAAACAGATAACAAATAAGGACGTACTGTATAGCACAGGTGACTCTACTCAATACTCTGTAATGACCTATATGGGAAAAGAATCTAAAAAGAGTGGATATATGTATATGTATAACTGACTCACTTTGCTGTACAGCAGAAACTAACACAACATTGTGAATCAACTATACTCCAATAAAAATTTTTTAAAAAAAGAAGTAGGAAATGCAAAGGGAAAAGTTTCTAAAGAGAAAGGGCAGGAATCAGTGCTGGAATCGGCACTGGAGAAAATTAAGACGGAAATATCACAAAGCTACAGAATGTAACACTTTGTCATCAGTTTAATCTTTGAGATAAGCAACTAAATTATATTATTCTTCCCAACCTTAACCTTACCTCATGGTTTAATATTAAAATTCTTTTTGGTAGTTTAGACAAAAGTCATATTTGATGGAAGCGATATTTACGTCATCAGTCCTCAGGGTCAAATACAGCCCACGCTGTCCCGCCAAGTCTAAGGTCGAGTCTATACAAATTACTAGACAAACCATTTTCCTGTGAATTTGTAAAGCTCAATAGTGGAGCCACCACTGGGATTTCTAGGTACACTGATTTCAGTCATCTTAATAATGGAGTTAATTGACTACAGAAACCCATCGGTTGCCAGGCCATCACCTTTATTACCACAAGGAAAAATGAGTCAATTGAAAAAGGTCGATTTAGTCAGGCCATGTAGATCCTGTTAACTACTTTTCTGGAATTAGACTCTTGTCATCAAATAAGAAAATACAGATGCACTGACTACAATAACAGAGGAGTTCTATTATAACTGTCCTCTTAAATTTAAATGGTAAAGATTCAATACATGCCTAAGTCATTGCCTACAGGTAGGTAACTTGGCTTTGGACTCAGAACTTCATTTCAGAGTTACTTTTTACTTTCAAAACTGATTCAAAGTGGATATGGAGATAGGGAAAAGTCTAATTTTGCCTTCCAAACCTTGTCTTGCAGTATGTCTATGAAGAAACAGAAAAACAATCCATGAATTTTTATCTATTTTTTTCTACCCATTAGGAAAGAGTAAGCCATATAATTTTACTTACTAGCTAAACAAGTTCTATCTGATCTCTGAGTATGTTTTGTCACTTGTAAAACAGAAATAAGATACCTGTAAATCAGGGCTGACCTACATGCTCTGCCTCCCTTAAAGGGCTGAGATAGGTAAAATGAATACTTTGAAGACTGTTTTCAAATCAGACTTTTAAAATATCATTTGCTTAGATTACATTTTAATTTGGTTTATAGCTATCCATATTCCATTGTGCATCATGTAAGAAAAAAATTGGTAGGATTCCATTTTTACTACCTAGTGAAAGTAAGGTTAGACAAAATCATCTATGTAGAACTCCAGCCAAAAACACTTAACATGAATCTAGCGAAACAATTAGTCAAAAACAGATTTGGGGACTTGCTTGGACTTTTCAAAAATGTTAGTGCAATTAAAAAAAAAAAAAAGGCAAGAGAAGGGCACAATTTAGGTAAAAGGGAAACAAAAGACATAGTGATCAGATGCAATCTGTGACCCTTGATGAGGTCTTGGATAAAACAAAAAATAAAAATCAGAAAGAATATTTTGGGAATAACTGGGGCAATTTGCTTTGTATCTTAGATAATATTATTTTATCAACAATAAATTTATTGAGTGTGATAATAATATTATGGTTATGAAAGAAATGTCCTTGTTTTCAGGAGAAACATGCTGACATATTCTAGGAAAGAAATGTTATGCTGTATGCTGCTTACTTTCAAGTGGTTCGGAAAAAAATTTTTTTTAACTATCTAGAGGGAAAGCAAATGTGGCAAAATGTTAATAGCTGAAGAATCTAGGTGATGGGTATCAGGTTTTACTTTTCTATTCTTTCAACTTTTCTGTACATTTGAAATTTTCAAAAGACTATGGGGGGGAATGAACACTGCATAAACAAAACAAAACAATGAAAAAATTGTATCAATTTTCCAATAATAAAATTATACTTTCATTAACCTAATTTTCTAAATGAAAATAAATTCACTATGTTATAATACTGAGGTATATTATTTAAGAGCAACACTAATCTTTCTTATACACAAAACAGACAAATTAAGTGGACTTAATTACATAGCAAAAAGGTCTCACTGAAGGATTTCCTTTGAGTAAAAAGTAGTGTCATTTCTAAAAGCAGGATAGAAACAGATCAAATGTTACTATTGCAAAGATCACAGAAATTAACTAAATCCTTATACACTAGCAGACCAGTATCTACATGTTTTTTCAGGACATATAACTTTACATTTTTCCTCAAAAGATAACTTAAAGGCAAGTAGAACATGTATCTTACAGTTAACAGATGTGATGGCTCATATTTTATCATATACTTCACTTCAACCACTTGGAAGGTAAGCAAAGTAAAAAAACTAAAACGATTAATTGCAGTCCATAGGCAGAAAACATGACATTCTACTCTAGAAATGCCATTTTAAGTCTAGAGTAGGAATGCTATAAAAAGAGGGGGGAAAACCCTCTAATAAACACTAGACTTGGATGATAGATGAAAACAAATTTAAGATTGTGAGATAAATAAGCCTGCCTTAGACTGAAAACTTTTCCTACAGATTTTTGGGTGAAAACTTTCTAACTAAAATTTTATAATTTCCTTTGTATCAAACCAGTATATTTATGTGTATGTGGTATTCTAAACAGAATGTGAGGCTTTCTTGTTCTGGCAGAAGGTTGAACAACTGCCCATTAGCCCCATAAGAAATCAGAAAGTATACTCAGGAATTTCTTTTTATGGGTTCATTTAAGTATTAACTAGAAAGAGCATCATCGTTAACATGAGCTAACAAATTATGTTTTTATAATCTCTTAATTAAATAAATTCCTAAAAAATTTAAATAATGTGTTAATGTGGAGTTACATTCTCTGCTTTAAAATCTATTTGCTAGTATAGATTCCAATTACTATGTTTTCGTAGGAAATATATAGTATTTCCTTTACCAGATAAGCTCTATAAATGGAAAGAAAAATAAGAATATCTTTACGAACTAACCTAGTTTTAGCAGTCCTTCCCTTTTTGTAAATAAGATGACAACAGTGTGAATTGTAATAGAAAAGAACAAACTTCATAAAATGTTATACCTTTATTTTCAAAATAGCATTTTATTTACCTTGTTAATGGACACTACCAAAGCTGGTTCCACTGTACCTTCGATTTCTTCTGGAGTGTAAAAACAATAGAGTTTACCCCCTCTTAAAACACAATACAACCTTCTCCAACTAATCAGACCTTCTACCATTTGCTGAAAAAGAAAAATCAAGAAACTCTCAACTTTAAATCATTATTTATCATCTTAACTCTAAATTCAACAAAATACTTGAATTAGCAAAGTTAGTTTTTTGAAATGTTTTAATGTGATAGTTACCCATTAATTTACTATACAAAAAGTCAATAGCCCAAAGTAAAAAAGTAAGTTTGTATCAGAGAAGAAAGGTGTGGAATTCTCAAAAGCATTAAGCAAAATAGAGGTAATAATTATCACATAACTTTTATATACATAAAATCATAAATCAATGCAGTTTTAGAGAAGCTAGTCTATTAAAAATTAGTGATTGGAATTCCACAGCAATTCACGTAATGACTCAGGAAAAGTATAAAAATAACTGAACATTCAAAATAATTGAATATTCAAAATATTCCCTTACTGTTCTCAGAACACTGGAAAATGTTGACGTCCCTGTAAGAATGCAAATTTTCTTTCCTCTTAATGGAATCTTTTTAAAAAAGCTATTGATTCATTGAAGCCCATAATTAATCATTTACTGAATACAAATAACTATGGTTATAAATAAATTAGGAGTAGGTGGCACAGAGGCAACTTTGGAAGCCCAGAGGCCTAAACTGTGCCAAAAGCTGTCTGCCAGAAAGGCCTTCATGTGAAAGGTGTTGAGCAGTCCTCATCAGTTTCCACAAGGAGTCCTCTGGTACTGATTATCCTGTTACTGCTATTAATGAAGCAGAGGAACCTGGAAGAGGTAGCCCCTTAGCCATCAAAACTGCATCAGACCCCTCCCCTTCCCTACCTTCTCACTCCCAGCTGCACCCTCCCCCCCACATTTGATGTCTAACAAGGAGAAAACTGTCATTTAAGAGAAGACTTTATTTAAAAAAAATATTTCACAATATCAGAATGCCAAACAACTGCCAGGATATTAAGATCAAAATTAGAGCTATAATTGTTGCAGGATATTTAAAGTTCTCTAACCTGCTGATTAAGAAATCCTGCAAACGCATCCTCAGCCATACAAGCTGGTTGGGCGACTAATCGGCAGCACATGTTACCATATAAGGGAAGCCAAAACGAAGACTCTTCTATTTAAATGAGAAAAAAATCAAGTTACAAATATATGTTTATTTAAGGTCATTATTATACATTTTGATTATATTTACAATTTTTTTTGCTTTATATAAGAACATATGTAAAGGTTCATCCTGCTCAAATTACTGTATTCAATGACAAAATCAAATAAAAGAAAGCAGTCAGGACAGGATGATATTAAACTGATAGTTAACAGCATGCTATCTATCACCTGGAGTAGACATGGAACTTTTAGTCTCTTGATCTCTTGTTTGATCTTAAAGTAATTAATCAATGGAGGTAGTTCAGGACATATAAGTAAACTCATGTATTTTTTTTAAAATCCTAATGAAGTGATTTTTGTTTGTCAAATTCTACTTTTTGCTCTGATTTTCATTATTATAATTAGCAAAGTGATGCTCTGAATAAAACACTTCAGGGCACAACTTTATGATAAGAATTTAATAATAACCCTTTGGACCTTTCCCCTTGTCCCTTCCCTTACTGAACAACTCAGGTGTAAGCCATTATGTGGAGTCCACCACAATGGGTATCTGTGCCAGGAGCTGGGCAGGGGGCGGGCGGGAAGCAGTAGTGTGCCGGAGCTGGGTGCTGGGGCCAGTCAGGGTAAGGAGGGTGAGTGGGAGAGCTGCCTGGCATGAGGAATCAGAGCCTGAAGGGGCTGAGGAGGACGGATCACATGGGGAATATAGAACCCAAAAGGGGTCTCTGCTCAGTGGCCGGCCTGGCGTGGGGAGGAGGGGCCCAGGTAGAGTAAGGAGGGTATCTGTGTGCGGTGCTGCCCAAGTGAGGTGTCCGAATCCAGGGAAATTAAGAAGAGTGTGGGGGGCGGTCCAGCCACAGGTGTCAGTTTGAGAGTAGCGAGGGGACCATTCACACATTTGGTGACCCAGAACAGTGTGTCAGAGCCTGGGGAGATGGAAATGCAAGCAGAGGGTCAGCCGGGTATGGGGTGTCAGAGCACAGCAGGCTGAGGACGGTGTTCACATGGGCTGAGGAGGGCAGCCCTGGGGGGGCTGTGTGAGCCTGAGCAAGGTAAGGAGTATCCCTGTGGGGCCAGGGGCAGCCCAGAAGGGGAGTCAGAGCCCCAGCAGGAGAGAGAAGCAGTTATGTGAGAAAGATGGAAAATGGTTGCTTTTAAGGAGACTGACCAAAGAATAAAAAGCATTAAAGATAATAGAAGACAGGTTTCTCACTGTCAGAGAAAGGAATTACAAATGTGCGGAATGAACTCTTTGGTATTGGATTAGAACTAGACATACTGGTGTGAACTCATGGTTTTCAACATACAGAGATTAAGAAATGCATGATATACAGAGCGAAGTGAGTCAGAAAGAGAAAAACAAATACCATATGCTAACATACATATATGGAATCTAAAAAAAAAAAGATGGTTTTGACAAACCTAGGTGCAGGACAGGACTAAAGACGCAGACGTAGAGAATGAACTTGAGGACACGGGGAGGGGGAAGGGTAAGCTGGGATGAAGTGAGAGAGTGAAGTGAGAGACATATACACACTACCAAATGTAAACTAGATGGCTAGTGGGAAGCAGACACATAGCACAGGGAGATCAGCTCGATGCTTTGTGACCACCTAGAGGGGTGGGATAGGGAGGGTGGGAGGGAGACGCAAGAAGCAGGGGATATGGGGATATATGTATATGTATAGCTGATTCACTTTGTTTTATAGCAGAAACTAACACACCATTGTAAAGCAATTATACTCCAATAAAGATGTTAAAAAAAAAAAAAGAACAAATGCATGACAGGACTTCCCTGGTGGCGCAGTGGTTAAGAATCCGCCTGCCGATGCAGGGGACATGGGTTCGAGCCCTGGTCCAGGAAGATCCCACATGCCGCGGAGCAACTAAGCCCGTGCACCACAACTACTGAGCCTGAGCTCTGGAGCCTATAAGCCACAACTACTGAGCCTGCATGCCACAGTTACTGAAGCCCACGCACCTAGAGCCCGTGCTCTGCAACAAGAGAAGCCACCACAATGAAAAGCCTGTGCACTGCAATGAAGACCCAACACAGCCAAAAATAAATAAATAAATAAATAAAATTTTAAAAAGAAATGCATGACAAAATATATATACATGTATGTCCACTGAGAGGGCCTAGGAAAAGTGACACCTAATAGTGACAGTCTAATAGCAATGAATATACCTATAGCTCAGATCATGTCTTCTAAATATTATTTCTATTGAAAAGAACCAGTCTTCCTTGGAGAAACGGATGACTCCAGGACTGGGGCAGGGAAAGTACATGATGAGCCTGAAATATCTTGTTATCCCTTAAGCAAGGGAGTACTCAATGAATGAGGAGGACATCTAAAAAGACACAGAAGCCATCTTGAATGTGCTCCCATTAGCCAAAAAGGAGACAATCTGAATCTTAAACAAGATATTAGCAGATTATAATGCACTGAATAAAACTGTAAAACATGAGTCCATGTTGATATAAATAAATCAATGAATAAGTTGAAAGCCTAATAAATATACTTAGTTTCAAAGTATCCTCCTCCCACACATAAAATATGAATTAATTACAAAGAGGAAAACAAAAAGAGTAACTTAACAGTAGAGAAGCTTAACAGACAGCACCCTAATCAAGTGAACATCATCAGTAATGGGATGAATCAAAAGATGCCACCTGATAGAATGCAATGAGAACGCAGCATCACCTCTGTGATATTTCTGCCAAAGATGCATATCCTGAGTCTCAGCCCAAGAAAACATCAGACGAACCCAAACTGAGGGAACTTCTACAAAATAACTATGATGTTTAAAAATGTCAAGGTTATGAAAGCCAAGGAATGACTGGAGAACTGATCTAAATTGAAAGAAACTAAAGAAGCATGATGATTAAATGCAATGCATGAATCTGCACTGGATCCTTTTGTCATAAGGGACATTATTGGAGTAACATTTGAATGGTGTCTGTATTAGTAGAAATAATAGTAATGTATTAATTCTGACTTGAATAGCTGTAGTGATGTAGCCAGATGTCTTTTAGTAGGAACAGGTATTAACGTATTTGGGAGTAATGAAGCATCAGGTAAGCAACTTGTTCTCATATATGTTTTGGGGAAAAAAATCTTGATATTCAACTTTCAACTGTTCTGTAAGTCTGCAATTGTTTAAAAAAGTTCTTTCAAAAAACATTAAGATAGTCCTTTAATGTAGTGTGCAGGGAGGTATACAACCTTTATAACTGTATGGAAGGAAAGCACTGCATAATTTATTCTGTGTATTGGGGTATAAATAAAAATGCAACATACGGTCCTATGTTCACACTGGACCACATAAAAAATATCTGTAAAGTTTTTTTTTTTTTCTTGCGTTATGCGGGCCTCTCACTGTTGTGGCCTCTCCCATTTGCGGAGCACAGGCTCCGGACGCGCAGGCTCAGCGGCCATGGCTCACGGGCCCAGCCGCTCCGCGGCATGTGGGATCCTCCCGAAACGGGGCACGAACCCGCGTCTCCTGCATCGGCAGGCGGACTCTCAAGCACTGCGCCACCAGGGAAGCCCATCTGTAAAGTTTTCACTGCACCCATGTTGGTAAGTGCATATTAAATGACTAACCATTGGCTATTACTATCATTGACCAAAAGGTCTTAGTAAGTCCAAAAAATAAAACATTTTTTGTAAAAATACAATTATTTAATATATAGAGGCAGTGTAGCCAAGGCTTGACACATCAGTTAAATGAAAAAGACCAGCATAAATGAAGAGCACAAAGTTAACACAAAAACAGTTTTGAAACAATTTACCTGCTCAACATTCTACTAAAGAATAGCATACCACAAATTGTCTGGGACTATTCAACTCTTTGTTAAAGCTGCTGTCTTTTAGAAACAAAGGGTTTGATCTGAGAGAAATAAGTGTATAAATACAATAAAGTCAATGATTTAAAAATGCAGACATAAATAAATAAATGAGAATCTCCTTTTCTAAAATAGGCAGGAAATGAAATAAAAATTCTATAAAAGCATGCATCTACATAATACAATTGAAATCACCCTTGTGATTTATGAGTTTAAAGTTTGAAAGCGAATTTATTTATTTATTTTTGCAGTACGCGGGCCTCTCACTGTTGTGGCCTCTCCCGTTGCGGAGCACAGGCTCCAGACACACAGGCTCAGCGGCCATGGCTCACGGGTCCAGCCGCTCCATGGGATGTGGGATCCTCCCAGACCGGGGCACAAACCCACGTCCCCTGCATCGGCAGGCAGACTCTCAACCACTGCGCCACCAGGGAAGCCCCAAAAGCGAATTTCTTTACGTAGCAAGCCCAGATTTATGAATGGCTTGTTTTTAAGTTAGGATCCACCTCCTAAGGAAACAGAATCATAAATGATTAGTTTTTCAGACCAGTCACAATCAATAATGTATCTGGAACCTAAATACCACATGTAACAGTGTGCTTCTCCAGTAAAATAAGTTCAGATTTCATGGCACACCAAGAAAAATAATTCCTTCCTCACTGCAGACCTTGAAAAGATATACTGGATGTAAAATTCTTTGCTCTAGAGATCATGTGCCACATACACTGCAATCACCTCTTACTTCCTACGTAGGTTTCTCTACAGCTCATGACCACTGTGGAATAAAGCAGTCACAGCTTTTTCTCCCTACTTCTGACAAGAAATACAGCAACTAGGCTATTCACTTAACTTGCCCGAGTATCAATTTCTCATTCTTAAAATACTACCTATTTAGTACTAGGGTTGCTGTGAAATCACATAAGATAATGTGTGCATGACATTTATCGCTCTATCTGGCATGTAAAAGATGCTTCTCATAATTTCATATCCAGGGCACTCTCACTCCCCAAACCATATCCTTTCCATTTCTCAATGCTGCCTTTCTGCCCTTGTGCAACACATTAATCAAAATACTTAATTATTCTTTTCTAACCAAAGGTGGTACTAGGACAAGATGAAATGAAACAGGAAGTGAAAGAGCAGTTTGACTTTTCATTACT